AGGAGCTTCTTCAAAGCAAGCCTTAATCTTGATTAAGTAATTAATGAGCTCATTCTTTGTAACTTAGCTTTAGGTCATAAATTCTAGTCTCTACTCTTTGTGATTAAGTAGAAGTATTGTTGGTTGTCTCTTGTTTTAAAATGTTTATCCTAAAATATGTTTCTTTTCCTTTATAATGGATCATATAATTTTTTTTAATATATAATATGTGGTGATAAGTTAAATAAGAAAACACTCAACTTTCCTTCCATTTGTTCAGTAATTTCATAGTCAACTGCTTTAAATTATGGTTCAAGGTTGGGAAAGGCGTCAAGGCGGAGTAACAGGTACTGAGTATGAGTTACTGGCTCATTTATCACAATTAGCCTTCAAGCGTGAAGTTTGGTCGAGGTAGCTCACCCACTCGCCCAAGAAACCAATGTGTTGTCTAAGAGATTGGCTCAGTTAAGGAGGACAACTTGTACTGCTGTTGAATTGCTTAGCATCAAATTATCACAAATATAGAGTAAGCCGACAATGATATGAACCCAACAAATGTTGTGGGGGAATAGATGTCGAGATACACCACTATCAGAGATAAAATCAATTATATTATCAAAGTGACAAATGTTGTGGGGAATAGATGTCGAGATACATCACTATCACTATCAGAGATAAAATCAATTATATTATCAAAGTCTGAAGAAGAAAAGAAGGGATAATTAATGAGTATATATTTTATATTATATAAGAAAATCCTTCTATAGAGATTCAGGAAAGGGATCAATTCCTAAAGATTAGATTACATGCTATTTTTCTCTTCTTAAACAAATAATTATCTCTCTCTTATCTGCTTCATGCTCCTCCCTCATTTGTAACTCTTTTCTTGAGGTGTAAGTTCATAAGCAAATCAGGATCCAACGGTACACCAAATATGAAGTGTATTTTCAAACGGAAGGTAAGAGATGATGTGCAGTAAGTTCCGATCTGCTGACCATTCGGTCGTGGTTACAAATGATATGACAAACATGAAGAAAAATTACTTTACATTTTTTTTATTTAAAGTGTGATAAAACTTGCTAAGATGAAAATGCTTAGGTGAATGCGTGGCTTCACACTTATAGACAAAATGCAAAATGAATTATCTTTGATAGAATTGGTGCAGCTCCAGTCACAGACAAGATTGGAGAGAGTAGTCTTAAATAGTTCGGTCACATTAAACGTTGATTGTCTGATGACCCGGCTAGGAGAGTAGATGCTTTAGATTTGACTTATGTTAAGAAAGATAGAGATATACCTAAAAAAGACTTGGACATATTGTATAGAAATTGATCTTAATATAATAGAATTAAATGAAAATATGACGCTCATAGGATGTAATGGAGAAAAAGAATTCAACCAGACCCCACTTATTGGAATAAAGGGATGTTATTGTTGTTGGGCATTATACTTTTGTTTGGGTAAGGATTATAATTAATACTTAATTAATTATGGTTTAACTTAACAATATTTTTTTAAAAACGTGAATAAATGGCTCTATTTTTATTCACTTAAAACCTTTTAGTCAGCTAGCAGATATAGCATGCATCTGATTCTATAAGCCTCTAGTTTCAATTTGCATTATTTAAGAGTTGCTAAACATTCATTGACCTAAAATCAAAAATGGAGTTTTTACAGTAAAATAACCTCATCTAAAAATATTCTCCCACATTAAGTAAAGTTAAAAAATAGAATTAATTTGTTTGCTTTAATGTAATATTAAATTTGTTAAGCACCACATTAATTAATTTTTATTTTTATATTAAATTAATCAAAAAAATATAATTAAATCAAACAAATTAACAAACAAAATCTGAAATTCGTACAAATATTTTTATTATTGAAGTATTCTCGTAACATAATGTTTACACTAAAATACAATCTTCTATATCGCGCAGTTATCTCGAGATATTGAAAAAAAAATTTCAAGAACATCAGTTGCCACAACCTCACAAAGGTCAATGCCACGAAGGTGCATCTCGGTGATATTGAAGGAGAATTTCAAGAACATCAGTTGCAGCATCGAACTCTGCAACCATCGCCTCAATATATACTGAGCTCGGGCGTCATTCCACCCGAGATAAAACATAGTATTTTTGTGTAAATATTATGTTACGAGAATACTTTAATAATAATAATATTTATACAAATTTTATATTCAGTTTATTAATTTGTTTTATTTAATTTTTTTTATTAATTTAATATTAAATATGAATTAATTAATGTGATACTTAATTAACAAATTTGATTTTTTTCATTAATGTAAATGTAAAGAATAATTAATAAATCTATTTATAATATTAATTACTATATATTAATATTTACAATATTTATAATAAAATTTTAAGA